AAAGATATGTCGTAGTATTCTATTACAGCATGCAAGAACCGCATTGCTCTTTTACTGTTTCATTTTGTAACAATTTTAAGGGATCTCCACAGAGCTCTTTTTTTTTTTTTAACTAAATTGCTTAAAAGAAAGTTTAAATGTCTGAGAAAAAATTATCTTTTAGTCAATACAGAAAATATGCATTTGATATGCATTTAAAAAAAAAAACAAAACAAACTGCCTGCATGTATAAACGGAAAAAAGTCTGAAATACATGAAGTATCTTGATAGAACTTTCTGCATAGGTGTGGTGGAGTGCATGTCATAATTCATAAAATTAAATTAATACTCTTCTAATGGTAATTAAAGATTCTCATTAAGAAGGGCAAACACCTCCCTTGTGCTGGCAATAAAAATGCACTTGGGACTTTAGGAGGTTATACAAAAAAATCAATAACCTGCCATTTTATAATTAAAAGACAAAATAAATGTTAGGGAAAAGTCCAGTAAATTAGGAAAATTACCTTCAGGAGAGATTGAAAATATTGATTTTAATTTACAAACTATGTGAACTCTTCATGCCCTACTTCATGAGACAATTATAAGTCAGATTGTTAATTCTGCATACGTATTAGAAAATTGATTACTGTACTATGGGAATTTTATTATATTTGTCATTAACACAAAGTCATTTATATAAAATGACTAATAACTCTGACTTTCTAATTTATGCAGGTTCAGGGTTGGTTCACTAACTACTCAAACGAGATCAATGTTAAATTCCTGTTTTCAATGTAGGCATACATCAAGGAAGAAAATAAATTCTGCCTACACTAAATATTGCAATTCCACGAATGCCAAGTTGTTATTTTTATTATACTATGCCACTTTTACCCTAATTGGCACATTTTTATCTATCTTAGTAGATGGCACTGGATATATTACTGGCAGCTTTTTTAAAATAAATATCTGTTTGTAACAGTAGCCCTATTTAACAATTTTTATCTCTTGAAGTCCCTTAAACTAAAGAAAGTTTTTCAGCTTTGGCTAGTGGAGGCTTGAGTATCTCCACGAATGGAGATTCCTGAGCTTCTGTGGGCAACCTCTTCCCATGCTTAACCACCATCTGTGAAAAATACTTTCCTAATATCTGTTCTTTACTTGCTGAAAAGAATGTATTCTACAATTACCTCTTTATTCTCAATTACCTAAGTGTGTGACAATGGATAAATATTTCTGTTTTTTAAAACATGATTAGGTATTTGTAGCTAGTATACACACACCCAGACAACTGAAAAACAGATCCAAATGGAAAACTGAAAAATTCCTAGAGTTTCCCATGAAAGTCATGGAAAACTCATATATGATTTTGGAACCCAAGAAAGGAAAGCAACTTTATTACCTGTTAGAAACATTTGGATTTACAGTGATTATTTCTGTCTTAGATGTAAATTACTAGCTTTCAAAAAACAGCTTTTTTGGACTTGGTAGTGATTATGTTTATGGGCAGGATTCAAATTCCTCTGAAATCAACTGGGTTTTGGAGTACAACCATGTTTGTTTTCAATACTGTTGCTAAAGCACATTTAGAAACTGTTGCTAGCCATGACTGACTTCCAGCAGAAAAAGACTGTATCTCATTAACTCCAAATTGTAACCAGGACCAGAATTTGGACTCAGTAAAGACTCAAGTTATAATACAGATTTAAAATACAACAATTTTAAGAAACTGAATAACTAAATATAAAGTTTAAAGAAAAATGTTCAAGAAAAAAATTATGAACACAGATACTCTAAACCTATGTGTGTCTATGTATACATATATACACAAAATATATATTTATAGATAGATTTTTTGTTGGTCTTGCTCACTAGGCTTAAATAATTCCTGGAGGAAAGTGACTGTACTGAAATATAAAATAAAATAGAATATAAATAAAATATAAATAAAATAAAATCTCAGGTAAGACTGGGATATTGCAGTACATTTCACGTTATACTATCTACTTGCCAATAAAAAGGTATTCATATATCTTCTACGTAAACTTTAGTATGCCTAGGTAACTTAAAATCCTGCATCACAAAATCTGTAAATGACTTGCAGACAATGTGAATCAGACAAAGAAACCAAACCTCACACCAAACACATATCCTATACTTTTACATATTTTAAAGAATACTAAAATAAAATATGGCATGGACAACTATAGTGTAATCCTTACCTGCATAGAATTCTGGACTATAAACTGCACCAACAACTGGATTTAATTTCCAGCCTGCAGCAAACATAAAAACATAATGGAGTTAATATGCAATTAGGGATGATAATAATAATAATAATATTTTTTAAATTTTATTTTTGTATCGAGGTATACAGATAAAATGGCTTCAAAAAGGTAATTTTAATGAAAGTTTTATAGGCACCTTAAATTACTGATCTTTAATATCACACTCTGAAGTATGGAAATAAGTAATGAAACAAGGCATCCTCTGGACATGTAGTACTGGAGTAAATTATCAGGTGAATTACCTTGGCTGCAATGCACAGTTGCCATGCGCTTATTCCCTCAAGTTATGGAATTAAGTCAGAACTAGTTCAGGTATTCCTATATCATGTACTATCAGAGTAGATCAGTTCTTTTGCATTGCTTTAACTCTCTGGTTACAAGCCAGAGAGGACAAAACAGTTCATTTGCTGGACATAAATGTTTCTGATAGGCATGTGTTAGCGTAGGTTAGAAGGCAATCAAATCATCTTAGCATTTGGCTTCTACTCTGGGAAAAATGAAATTGTAGACACTGTATAGAAATGTCTATTGTGATGTGAAAGAGATGGGCGCACTGTGGGATCCCAGTCAAATGCCAGAGACTTTTTTTCCATTTGCATTTGTACATCAGGCTGTCTGCACTGAAACAGGACAATTACAGGCACGTCCCAAAAGTGACTGTACCACCTGCATTTACAGCTGATAAACGCTGTTAGCATATTGCTGTAAAGTAGCTGGCATGTAAGAAAATGCTGCAGTCACATTCCGCAAAGCTCTTAAGTGGTACAAATGCAGCCACTGCCTTTGTCTTAAATAATCACTGTCCTCCCACAGCTGGCATAAAACCAAAGCACAGAACCAACAGATATTCTGTATCGTGTGTTCTGGCCTAACTCCAAACAATTGCTGTTGTGTCCTTACACCTGATGCGGCATTTCCAGGTAAGCCTGGAGCGCACAGGCTTGCTGCAGAAGCAGGGCCTGTGGTCAAAGCATGTGGGATGCTAAAGACAACAATGCTGAAGGAACTGAAGGGGAAGAGCTAAGAGAACAGCAGGAGAAGACACTGGCAAACACGTTAGTGTTCTCAGCTGTGGTAAAGTGCCAGTTATTGTGTTTTGCTCAGTCACAGTTAGATCCACTCCCAGTTAACTGCAAACTCCACAGAACATCCCCCACCCACACTCTTTTTTTTTAAGTGTTTGAACAATTTGAACTACTGGGACTGAAAAATTAGAGGTTTTCCAAAAGCACACTTGAATCAGAGGAGTGGGAAGCACCCTCTGATGGGTAAATGGGAATAAAGAAAAAAACTGAGCAAAAGCATCTTGTAAACTCAAGAACCATGGTACTTTAAATAGATCCTGTAACTATGCTGCTGGAAACAAAATACAATCAAGACAGGGACAACAAGGCCTTTCAAAATCAGAAGAGCCAAGATCAGAAGATTTTCAGTGCAAACTGTATTGAGGCTTGTTTCTGCCTTGGCCACATCATGTAATGCAAAAGCACAGTAGAAGATCATAAAACCAGAATGCATTATGAGAATGAAAAAGTGTAATATAAAATCTCAATCATAACACAAAAGAAAACTATTCCTACCCTTTAAAAATACTGCTATCTCTACCTGATGCACAGGAACAATTTACCAGTAATTAACTCTTCAGTAGCAGAGGTGAGAGGTGTTTTTGAAATGCAACTCATTAGTAAGTTCAAACAGAGCAAAGAGCAGCATTGCATGCAATTGTTCTGCAGAAGGAATTGCAGTTGCTATACATACCTAAAAGACAATAACAGAAGCTGAAAAATGGCCAATCAAGAAGGGTTAAAATTACTTTCCTCCTGAAAATATCACAGGATTTTTACCTGACCCTTCAATTTTACACACTCAGGATTATACTCAGGAATGTTGTGGTATAACAAATACTCTTAGCCAAATTTTGTGTGAAAGAAAATCATCCAAATTTTGAGACTTTCAGTAAAAATCTAACTTTTTATAGCTTAGGGAATATTTATTATTTCAAATTCATTACTTCCTCAAAAGACCACTGATCAGCGCCATCCAAAATGAAAGATTGGACTGAATTTCAGATCTGTCAGCTTTTGCTGTCTAAGAAGCTGACAGACGTCTCACAGCTTCTAAGTTACGCTAAGAGCGCCACAATTTGTCTGAGAGAAAGAAAAAATCTTGGAAGACGCAGATTGCTCTTCACAGCTGAAAGCCACTCTCATCTTTCAGTTCCTTACCTCTCTCACAGTGATGGCTGTCTCATCTAACTTTTTGAAGCTTACACAGGAAATACTTCATTCATCGTGAAAATAACAGTAATTAAACTTAACTTTGTCTTGTCAGCTAGCAATGTGCTGGCCCATAGCTGTGTGGGTTAATCAAGTGTGATAGGAGTTGATGTATCCGAGCGAGCATCTGCCAAGTAACCCTACTTCAACAGCTGGAGGAGGCAAATTCTCTGCAGTGGGTGTAATTTTGTGCATTTTTCTTACTGTCACAATATTAATCTCCTCCTCAAGTTGAAACTATAAAAGCTCAAAACTTAAAAACCAAACAAGGAAACAAACCCCTCTGCCTGCCCCAAAACCCCACCCCACACAGTCATGGAAAGAAACACAGGCGAAGCGTGCTAAGGAGAAAGAATCATACTGCACAGTGTAACAAGCTTTGGTAGAAAGTGGGCCACAGCAATGCAGAGAGGATTATTTTCACTTTACAGGCCAGACAGGCACCCATGGCTGGAGGAAGGCTTTGGCGGGAAAGAAGCCGTGTGACACTGTTTGCTTTCCTCCTGTTTGCAAACAGAAAGGAGCAAAGAGTAGGGGGGAATTTAACCATGGTAATAGTCACTAGCTGTGAATTTGAATCTAAGTTTAGATCAACAGAAGGCTCAAATTCAAGACACCTTAAGTATAAACTTTGAAACATATGTATCCCTCTACTGATCTCCATTTCATGTTCCTCATTCATTGCTGCAGTTCTCTGAATCTACTTGCACATAATTCTCTATTCCCTACCACACTTGGATGAGCATCCTGAATTGCAATATAGGCATCAGAAGAAAGTATGACTGTGAATAGGCTGAAACATCTAAAAATGTCTGAAATACTTTTGCCAACAAGTAGAACTCCTGACACTGAATTTATTTGCAAAGAAAAGGCAGTTCTATCTCCAAAGCACATGAGCTCAGCCATCAAAATCATCCTGTCTGACAATAAACTTGCACAAAAAAAGCTCTCCTAGCAACTGAGCATTTATTAACTGCCCAGTTCAGGAGTCATCAAAAGTCACTGGAAAGCATACTTATTTCAAAAACCATCTAGGACACAAAAGAAAACCACTTATTTGAATGAAGCTGCATATACTAAAAAAAAAAAATCTAGGGTTTTGTGCTTTAAGACCTACTGACTTTTGCAATCATATTTTCAACATAAGCCCAGTTATCAACCAACCAGCAGTATTCAGGAATGAAAGACAAAACAGTGTATCTTATTTTTAAATTACTATAAATATTAGTGCCTGATGTTTTCATATACTACAACATGTGCCCCAACTATGTTTTGAATGCCTGCCAATAACATGTCAGTCACCACAGACTCCTTGAAAAATAAAGGCACACATTAAAAAAGAAGTGGTTCTGAAGAGATAGGCACGTGCAAACCAAAAGTTTCTGGCTATCTGCATCAAAAGCATCTTGCAAATGTCCATATGCTTGTTGAAGAATGCAGAAAAACTAGCCTTTTATTTAAAAGATGAAACCTTTACTTTAGACAACAATAATCTTTAATAATCAGCTATAGCACTGGTTAATTCCTGACAAAATGATAAAGAACTAGAATCATACAATGTCAGGATGACTGATAATAGAAGTACTGATTAAACTAAATGAAGCACCTTGCACGTCTACACTTCATTCCTTGTTGCTTGTAATGATTACGTAAGAACAACATGATTCTCCTTGTGTGTTTACTTTAGGGGATCTCAGACATTTAAAAAGTAAAAAAAAAAAAAAAAAATCAAAATGTATGAACTACAACCAGAGTTTGCCTTGGTAGATACCCATCAAAAGGTGTGCAAAAGAGCATCCTGCATGCAACACCTTGGATGTACGGGTTCACAAACGTAAGTGCTAATTTTTATGCACTAACCAGGATGTTTCATACTTTTGGTGAGATCTAGTCCAGATGGAACAGGATGGAAAATGACAGCCATAAAACACTTCAAGTGGGAAAGACTTCACAGCAAATTTTCATCATTCTGGTTTTGGATATTAATAAATGATAATGCATGACCTAAGCAATCCTGCAGTGCAGGACACAGAGGTGAACCTCCTCTAAAACCAGATTCCTAAAAATCTCACACCTCTATTTCCAGCATTCCCTTCCTTCAGCACTGGATGTGCTGATATGTAACGTGCTCTTTGCTAATTAACAGTTTTGTAGCCTTAGGATAATATGAATACAAGTATACATCATCATTTATAACAAAAATACTTTTATCCTTTTATCATTACAATATAATACAACAGACAAAGTTCATAGTATTATATGCATATAGTTAATTTAGCTCCTTATTGCAACAAAATCTTGTTATGTGATCCAGTCAAGCTGCATGTCTCTCTCACTAGATTCACTGAGATGTTTTAAAGCCAGTAAAAATTAAGGAGATTTTCCCATCTGCATCATTTGCCAAGTTCCATGTTTACATACAAAACGAGCAAGAAAACAGTTTTTGAGAAAGCATGAGGAATTTCAGACTCTTCTTCTCCAGATCATTTTAACTAGCTCAATTCTAACACGTCAAATGAAAACAATCACTATATTTTATTTTTACTGTGGTAGGAAAAAATTATGACTCTCTCATCAAAAAATAAAGCCCATGTTTGCCCTGGGTTTTAGTAAAACCTCACTAATGAGAACTCAGATATAGAATATAAGATCCATTATATTTCAAAATGGAGAAGAGTCTAATCTACCTGTGGAAACCTTTACTGATATATGTGCAGATTTCACCTGCTTTCTACTGGATGGGAAAAACTAAATTACATTGAAAAGCAAATAATTATAACTACACAGTCTAGTAAAACTGGAAAACGTAATTGCAATTAACTTCAATTGATGTATTATTGTTTGACGTTGTTGAGCTAGGAACTTGTGAGAATTTTCTGACCTAGCAAATGCAAACAACTCAAGCACATGATCAAACACTGCCAAAGGAAACATTTTTAAAATGTATTGCTTCCAAACCCATCAAACATCTATGGATTATTTTTCTGTCATTCATGTACAACATTATACCAGCTCAGGAGAGTATTACAACAAGCTTTTTTAGATAGCTTGGAATTTAGATTTTTCCAGGGAAAAACAGCTGGAAGCAGCACCCAATTACAGTTTGCCCTTTACTTCTAACAAATTATGGAAGACACAGAAAATTATCTTTGACTAGGTGTGTGTCTTGGTACTGAGAAGTATCTCATGCCTGACAGAGACATTCTTCTTACTGGTCCCCCTACCTCCATTATCCAAGCAAAATTGAATCCTCCAATTAGTTCATTCATCACAACATTAACACTGCACAAAGCTAGAAGAGAGCAACCCTTTCCTATCAGGTATATTTTCCTATACAAAAGCCACTGCGGTTAAACACCCAGACTCCAATCAGACAAAATGATGCATGCTATGCCCACATGGCTGTGAATTAGCTGAACTCTACACAGACAGAATTTATGCCCAGCCATATTGTGTTTTAGGTTGCTGGACAAAGCCTGAGCCCAAGGAGATGCAGGGGATGTGGACTATGATGCTTCATGAGTAGAGTCCACCCATTCAGCAGAAGAGTGAGGTTTCACATGCATTGACATTAAAACAAAGCGCCGAGATCTCATGCACTTACCATTCGTGTAAGGGTTGACGGTCTTTTTATTTGTCATTACACGTGCTGTTGCATTATTTACCTAAGCACATAGAACACTGGATTAGAAAGGGTTACAGGGAGGGTCCATGTTACTATTAAATGCATGCATTATTACTGCTATTAGTCATGTAAAAATAAAATGCAATTTAATTTATAGAAGGCAACAGGTGCATAACAAAATCATACTATTTATAATTACATTTACTTTCATAACCATTTTAACTTACAAATCATTTCAATAAAGCAACATCATATCATTTAAACTTTAATAAAAAGACATTAAAAGCAAATTAAAAGGTACTGCATAATTGAAGACTTAAGAGCATGCTTGTATTCCATGATAACACTGATACAATAAATACTCAAAACAGAAAAAAAGATTATATGAAGGAACATGCAGTGGAGTAGAAGGGAAAGA